ATTGGAAACATAAGGTGGAGTTGGTATGTTATCTCTGGCCTATTGTGAGCTCAGATTTTGCAATATGCATGAACCTGATTAACACTGTTATAAAAAGTGTCTGATTGATCAATAAAGTGGAGTCGATGCTGACCAACGCAAGGTGGGTCGTCTCCCCTCCAACTTCATAGTTTCAAAGCACACAATTATTTCTAGTCCTCAACAAGCACTCAGGAGAAAAAAAAATCTACCAGTGTCCCAAAATCCTGATACCAAGACTAAAGTGACACACAAGGGTCATAAAGGAAGAAGACTAAACAGGAACAAATAGTCTGATAAATCCCTCATACCTTTTTCTAGCATTTAATCTGTAGGCCTGCCTGGTGCTGGCAGAAATCCCCAACTGACTCTAAACATAATTGGTTTTCCTTCTGTAAGCAGACATGTGACAGCATGGGTCCTGCCTGGTGGAAGGATGGAGTCCAGGAGGAGCTCAGTCAGCCCTTACATTAATTCCAGCTGATAAATCTGTCATTGTTATCACAGCAGACCCTGGTATTCTATTTTTTTTTTCTCCTGAAGTGGCTATTCCAGTACCATCAAATATTTGGCTGAGGAGCAAAAATCTAGAGACTAAAAGAGGAAGAGTCCTTCCTGGCACAGTGAGGCTGTGAAGCAGGATTTTAACAATCCCTTTTAGGTGCTGGCAGAAAGGCAAAGGAGGCAGCTGGGATCTGTTAGTACTGCAGCCAGGACCACACAGCTCTGCACAAGCAATTGCATCTCCAGCATGAGCTGTCCCCAGCTTTCTCCACTGCCAGTGCATTGAGAGCTTCCTTCAAATATTGAGCAGATTTTCTCAGCTTGGGCACCTCAGACAAGCACTGCATGCTAGGAGAAATATCTAGGTAAACACACATTAAAGTTCTTTTGGGTCTAACCACTACACAAATCCATGCCAACATCTTTAGAAAGAAGAACTTGCTCATACTGGAGCTCAGTAGCTAGTTAGATAACTTTAGAGGGTTTTTTGAGCTTATTCTCTTCTCCCAAAACCAGAGAAAGTTTTCTTTCTCTGCCTGTTTTGGAAGTAATCTCTGTCTCGTGTCAAGGGAGCACATGTAGTGTATGCCAGAGATTTAATGTGATATGCATACATCAAGCTCCCAAACTGGTGCATGAAAGGGTGGTTGAAATCTGCCATCTCACATACACAATCAGAGAGCTTGATCCAGGCTTCAGAACAGTTCTGTCCAGAGCACAGAGCTCATAAATAATGAAATGCTTTGGGTTGGAAGGGACCTTGAAAATCATCTACCTCCATCATCCCTGCCCTGAGCAGACACCTTCAATTAGATCAGGTTGCTCCATCCAACCTGGCCTTTAACTTCTCCAGGGATAGGATGTGGGAATCTCTGGATGTGTTTAGACCTAACAGAAATCTTTGAGCCACCACCAAACCATCAGAGTCACATCCAAAAGCAGTACAGTCCCATCTGAGCAATGGTGTGCTCAAGCTCTACTAAACGTTTTGAGAATGAGAAGAACAAAGTGTAATTACACTGTTTCCACAGTCAGCTCAGAACTTTGATCACTGCCAGGGGTGTACACTTTGGCCTACAGTGAGCTGGAAGGAACAGCATGTGGATTACAGTTTCTCTAGTAATGGTGAAATTATGTTCAACATCAGTAAATCTAGTGTCTTTATGCATATGACTGTGCTGCAAGCTCTCATTACAGCCGTGGAGATGTGGTCCAGAGTCAGGGACATCTGACAAGTGACCCAGTTCACACTCAGGTAGACACTTAGTGCTGGGTCAGCTGCAATGCCCTCCAGCCTCTACTGTCCACATCAATCACATCTCCTACAACTGGAATTGGGTATCTGGCTTCAAGGCAGACACTTGGATGTAAGACAAATGTAGAAAGATGTTGTAGAAGGTAAGAAGATAAAGATGACAGAAAAGATGAACTCAACCATAAGAGCTTTTGGCTTCAGCCTACCAGTTAATTTTCTGGACTACATGCCTGTTACCTGAATAAAGACTGAAAAGTAACAAGGCTAACAAGTACAATTCCATCACAGGTTATGCTAAACTACAAAGACTACTGCCATTCACAGTATCCCTGGAAAGTATTTAATGCATTATTTTAAGCAGACTAGCAAGTACTCCTCATCTCTCTTTCTTTTTCCCCTCCAGAATATACACTCTCCTTTAAATCAACAAAAGCACTATCACAGCAGCAAACTTGTTTGTAAGAAATGTCGTACTTCACTTCTTTGTGTCTACAGCAGAAAGAAGAATTACCAATACAATTTATTTTTATTTTGCCCATTTAATTCTGTTTTGCTCCTATACAGTTCAAGTCAAATATAGGTATAAGTTCACAATATAATATGAGGGCAAACAGACAAAACCTTCTGTTTCTCTGTGACTACCTCAACATCCAGGTGCCTGTCTCCTTAGCTTTCTCCTTCTGGAACATCTAACATAAAATGAAAAAAAGAAAGAAGCTAAAAGCTAAATTCCATAAAATGTTCTGATTTTCCTCAAAAAGTGGTATCAGACTGTGCCTGGCAAGTAAGTACACCAGACACAATTCAAGGCTCATCATGCTGTCAAGGATGGTAGCAGACACTTTAATGGAAAAATCAAAGATAAAAAATTCCCATAGCCACCAAATCCTTTATGCCATTCAGCCAGGAACAAGAGGCAATAGATAACACATTGGTGGTTCTAAGAAGAACAATTGTTCACAAAATTCTCAATTTGTATGATTAAAGCATAGTTACTTACATATTTGCATGTGTGCCAATATGCACATACATGCTCAGCCTTCTCCCAAAGTTTTAAAGGCTGACACAATTAATTGGGGGAGGGAGGGAAGAGGGGAGAGCAACAAGTAAAAAATCCCCAACAACAACAGATACAGTATCACTTAGGAGGAAAAGATAGGAAGATTATTTTTCTCCTTACCCAGAAAAATCAGCAGAATACTGTCCATAATCAAAGATATAGACCCTAGTAATTTGGCACACAGTGAGGTATCCTAAAGCGAAAACAAAGCAATACCTGGAAAGAAAATGGGGAAAAAATTTCAATTAAAAATCATAAACATTTCTCCACTGAATAAAGTACCATTTCAATAGAATTTAATCTCCAATTATTTCTACAAAATATTACATAATAGGAATCTGTAATCATACTTTATTCTGCCTGAGGTTTTTTTGCAATGTTTATTCTACACAAGCACATACTTTTTTATTTGAAAGTGTGCAGTTCAACCATAGAAATTCCATTGTCAGTAGCCAAAATATTTACACCAATAAAGCCTAGAATTTAGAATTGTAAGCACCACTGTAAAAACTGCAAGTCCTATAAAGAGAAAATTAATCTGTTAAGGTTGGTTTTTTTGTTTTGTACTTTGGAGCTAATTTTTGTCTCTATGAGCATAGAAGTTTGGAAAATGATACATCAGATAATTTCCATTTCATGTATACTGCTATACATTCAAAATTCATTACCACAAATCATATTGCTGCTGTTTTCCAAGGACCTGGAAAAGTCAAGTAATTTTCAAATACACATATTAAAACACAGTTGAGTGGAAAAGGAACAGGACACCTTTTGTCTTCTATTAAGCTGATCCTGAGCAAAAGTAAGAAAAAACACATATAGGAACTGTAAAAGTGTTACAATGTTATAAATAGATGAGCTGTGAAAGTGTTCTATGTATGACTAAATTAGTTTTACACACCGTTTTCTCAACACACTAGTGAGAACTGATCTGCCAATACACCTCACAAAATCTGCCAGATGTTCTTTGAAGTCCAAAGGGACAGTGAATGCCAGCAGGAACTTAACTAATCCTTTAGGACTTTAATGTATGAACTCCACAGTCTTTACTTCATGCACAAGACTGATGTGCAATCCTGCAGCAGACTGCACAATGCGTCTAAAATCCAGTTAGAATGAAAATATTCATTCAACAAACTGAAAATCACAACCAGGACTGGATTTAGGTGAACTAGTGAGGGACACTGCAGGACTACTTTGGAACATGACTTTCTTTTCCAAATAAATATTTTGCAAGAATTTATTAAGAAAATCTAAGGTCTTAGAAACTATTCTTCAATCTGACACTTACAGTTTAAACTTTAACTGAAAAACAAGCTATATATAAACCGTTGAATATTTTAAAGCATCCAACTTTGAAATTACAGATTACCTTATATACCATTAAATTACATGTATTTTGGTGAAAAAAAAATTAGAGGGTCTGTTTTAGCAGTAGTTTATTTTATGTTTTCATTAATATTCACAATCCAGAAACAGTATTATACTGGGAGACTAACTGGTACAAAAGTGCTTATAGTAAGAATACACTGGCACAGGTTGCCCAGAGAGGTGACAGATGCCTCATCCCTGGGAACATTCAAGGTCAGGTTGAATAGGGCTCTGAACAGCCTGATCTAGTTGAAGATATTCCTTGCCGGGTGGACTAGATGCCCTTTAAAATGAAATTCAAAGTAATCCACAATTACACGAAATAAACAATAGTCATCATGACCAACATGGTAGGGGTTTCTCACAACATTCAGTTAATACCCACACTGAAGTTAATGTACAGAAATGGAAGAAAGAAAAATGAAACACCTTAAACTTCTTGATTTGATTCCAAATTTCAGTCTAAAACAAAAGCTGTCTTCTGACAGAGCAGTGAAATTTGCTGCTGTTGCACTCACCAAACACAACTATGAATCTTAACTATTTTCCAGTTATGTCAGCCACAGTTCCAAGTTACACACAGACTGGAATACTGAAAATTTTTAATTGATGAGTAAAACACAGGAGCTTGCAACCCATATGATGCTTTTCAACTTCCACCTGCATCTCTGCACATTAGTCATGCCACACCACATCCCTTGTTCATGAGAAATGTCATTTCACCAGGCAAAGTGCAGCAATATGTTCTCCCCTAAGGAACTTAAAAGATTTATGACAGCTTGCATCATTCCTGTTATTTCTTCTGCAGGTTTGTAGTGCAACTTGCTGATCATCCTAACTCTCAAGTAAATCCATTTTTAGCTTAAAAAAATCAGATAAGATCTGAAAATGTTTTGAGAACTTTCTAGAATACTCTTACTACATGTTTGTTACTCTCTTCAATAATTCATTCAACAACCCTTAAATCAGAAAATTGAGTGAAGTTTCGCAGAGCTCAACCACATCAAGTTTTACCCAACTATAAAGCTAATTACGAGCTTCACACAAATGCAATTTACCCAACTTTCTCCACCAGCAGAAAAGCAATTGGTCTTACAAGTCAATGTTACTCTATACTTGCTTCTCACTGTATAATGTTCATGTGAGCAGAAAGATGAAAGTATTTCACACTGAAGATGAACAGCTACAAGCAAGTCACAACATGGTTATTATTACAAGAAACTTTCACACAAACTGACCTGCAATGAACATAATACCTGTATTGTGAAACAGAAAGACCCAAAAACATTCTTTTAAAATACATCTAATTCCCAGGATCTTTGTCAACACAACCTTAATTTATCTATCACAGATGCACCAAATTCAGACACATCTGGGAGACACTGTAGCATGTACCATAAACCAGAACACAGTGATATGCGTAACTCCTAATTAGAAGTTTAAAAAAAAGAAAGAAATTAAGCCAACAATACTGGATAGCCTATTATATAGAAAGGCTTTTCTTGTACAGGTATTTAATATAATATTTCAATTCCTTACAATTTTTAACATCTCAGAACACTAAAAACAGTATGCAATACGTTTTACTCATAAAATTTTATCTTTCCTTTAAAAAGAAATATATCAAGTAAACTGCTCAATGTTTTTAGAAGTATATTCTAGCATATTATAAATGAAGTACCTTAACTATACACATAAATATTACAATATATAGAAAATTCTAAGTAAGCAGCCCCTCCACATACTTCTTTACAGAAGGTGTTCATAATGAGAACATCTACTTATTTCTATTTTTTTAAAAAGGCAAATTAATCTCTTATTAGCAAATAAAATACATTGTCCTATTCAGTATTTTTTGTCTACTCATGTTTTGACAACTAACATTAAGCAACATACATATCAGGAATTTTTACCTGCATGTATACATATAAAACCAAAATAGATCATTCTACCTATATGTACACACATATATACAGATATACAGGGTTTGGTTCCTTCCCATTACATGAACTTTCTTCCAGTCTCCAAACATCCTGATGGAATTTGATACATATTTTCATGACTCCTAAAACATAATTTCTGCTAATGCAGAACACTTCAATCTCCTCCCTGTACCCCTCTTGTTTATTGTCCTCATAAGTTTAGCACAGCCAACGCCACAACATCATTGCTCACTTCAATGTAAAGTGGTTGGATTTTGTTTGAACAGTTGATTTTTTTTCCTACAGACAAAGCATTTTTATCCAGTGCCACCTTAAAATTCCATTCCACATGACACAGCATCATGGTTTAACTCCAGCTGGCAGCCACTCCCTCACTGCTCCCACCATAAACCCACCACCCACGGGGAAAGAGAGGAGTAGAAAGAAAAGGTGAACCTCATGGGTTGAGATAAGAATTTATTAAGTGCAACTAAATATCATGATAATAAATATACTAATACTGATAATAATTGAAATTACAACGAGAGGAAGAACAAATATTAGAACCCAAGAGAAAAGAGATGCACACTACAATTGCTCATCACCTGCTTACTGAGGAGCAGATCAGTTCCCTTCCAGGTAATTCCCCTCAGTTTATACAGTGACCATGTCACTCTATGGCATGGAATATCCCTTTGGCCAGCTCAGATCAGCTGTCCTGGCCATGCTTCCTCACAGCTTCTTGTGCACTTCCTCACTGGCAGAGCATGAGAAACTGACATGGATCTGACTTCTAGCAAGCATTACCTAGCCACAACCAAAAGTCAGTGTGTTATCAGCACCATTCTCATACCAAATCCCAAACACAGCAATGCACCAGCTACTAGGAAGAAAATAGCATTGTCCCAGTCAAAAGCAGGACATACAGCAGCCATCCTGGCCAGCACATCCTGTGTAACAGGAAGACATAAAGGCTCAGACAAAGTCTCCGTCTAGCCCAGGATCCAGAACTGTGTCCTCCCACAGCAGGAGCTCAAACACAGGAATGCAGATGAGCAGAACAAGCACAGAAGTTGCTTACCAGTGTTCTCCCACACTAAAACCATCAGCACAGACCCAGATTCAAACACATTATCCACATGTTTAATAACACTCAGCATAGTACACCTCTATCAACTTCTGGCTCCAAAGCACACCCTCATCTTAGCCACACTCTGTTGCTCCAAATACACTTGAGAAAGAGCTGTTAATCTCAACATCTAAAGAAATTTGGTAGAACTGAATGAGCCAGCAGAGCCCACTTATAGAAAGCTTCCACATATTTAAGAATATAAAGATTACATAGGTGGTTTAAAGGCAGAACCCCCATCTTTCACCTGTGTTCCTCAGAAATTCTGGGTTGCGAGTCAAGAAAGAACATCCACAGGTTAATTCTAGAGCTTTGTCTCTGCTGATGAGTAAGCTGAGCAGCACACAGACCCAGGCTAACAATCAGCCAATATATGTTATGTTTTTGTATAACAAAGTGTGGGAGTCGCATTTTCATTTTACACTCAGCATCTTAGTTATAAAATGTACATTCCTACTGTACCTATCTCTGTGTGCACAAAATGCAGCAAAAATAGAACTGTGACCTTGACAAAGGCAGGCTTTCAGAGATGTCATAACAGCTTCTGTTATTTTAGGCTCTTCTCATGCAGTAGAAGGACAACAGTACAATATGCTATTTTGCTGGAAGAAAGTTAAATAAACCAATCAACACAGGGTGCTTTTTTACCAGCTAGTTGGCACATACTACAGATTTAGTCTTCAAATAAAGGCTTCATGTCCAGTCAAGACCTACTTATTCCACTAAGTTAAGAAAAAGTACTTCTTTTTCCTTTAAATGTGTAATTATTCCATTTCAAAAGGCAGACCTAGACA